TAACACACATAAAAAAAAAATAAAAAAAAAAAAACATACAGACGAATTGAGTACCTCCTTCTTTTGGGAAGTCGGTCAAAAAGAGTGATCTATCTAATATTATAAATGCTAAAGTTGAGATGGATGGATTTATGGATGTTCGTTAGTTTGTAGCCTAGACGGCTGAATGAATTTCGATGAAATTAGATAGGTGTAGAGAATGTTCTGGAAGAACTCATAGGCTACTTTTGTTTATTTATTTATTAAATACTTTTGTCTATTTAATTCCAAACGAACGGAGTCGCGCGAAACCTAGTGTAGAATAAAAAAGAATAGAACAGGTGAAAGAAGATATAACTAATATGTTTCTGACTTATCAAACTTTTTCAACGAATAAGTTATACGACACCGATAACGTTCAAATTTATAGTCACAACATGACTAATCTGAGAATGTAAACACAAGAATGAATGTATTTTTGGAATATTCCAGTACAACGACAATGAGCAGATAGGTGCACGATACACTTTAGCCCTTTGGACTAAAAATAATAATAATTCATGACCAACGCCAAGATTAATATAGTAATATACATATTACACTGCTGAAGTACATATGTAGCTTATAACTATTTAAGGAATCTGTAGATCTATTGGTTATTTAAAGTATAGTTTACATTGTCGAATCATTAATGTAGGTACAGTTAAAAACTAATCGTTATCTTTGTTCTCAAATAGAATAAGTGCATTTCTTTGAGTATTTTTAAAGTGAAAATCATTTTGTAAATACTATTTAATGTCATAGTTACATCTAGGTATAGGTAAATTACTCGATTGAAATGGCATGGATAAAGGATAGCCTATTAGGTTTCTGTCTGACAACTGCACGACATGGCTTCCGGGAACAGTTCTAATACAATCGATTCCAATGAGGATTTTAAAATTAAAAATACAGCGGTCAAATTAGTTTTAAATAATCTTGCAAAGGTAATGTCATTTCATGTTTTTAGAAAAGTGTATCATTGCATGCAAAAATCATAACGTACTTACGAATTTCCCGAACAACGGCGAGGTTAGAAACATGACAACAGCGTAAAAGCTGAAAACCATTCCACACATGGTATCTGAGAGTCCCTTGGCGTTGGCCTCGCGCGGGAAGAACGGCGCCATTATGCTCATGGAGCAGAAGCTCATGAAGTCCACTAGCGCCAGAGACGCCAGTGTCAGCCGCTGGCGACGCGAGAGATGGCGCACCGCGCTCGGCCGGGGACACGTCTGAGTTCGGACTAATCTGCACCATACATGAGTATTATAATAAAACTAGTAATTATTAAAAAAAATACAAACTACAATGCCTAGCTGAGATCCAGAAGAATACGTATAAACCTCACCTGTCGGAAAAAAAGATGATGAAACTCGTGTTTAACATTCATAAGTAGTTAACCCTCTGTTCTAAAGGTGCATCATTGTCATTGACTTTGTTATTAAATAATTTAACATTGTTAATTGTTTTAGTACATCTTATAATATTACGATAATCTTATATGTAGATAAATATAACGTACCCCATTTTAAAAACGTGCAATATTTTACTACACTATTTACTACACTTATCGGAAGATAATTATAATCTGTTCAGTGATAAATTACTACTTCATAACAATACCTACATTACAATGCAACTAATAACCTAACAAACATTTAAATTCAACTAAAATAATAACAAAACACAAATAGAATAACCATATTTTTAAAACCATTGCAATACTGAGGGTAGATTTAACAACGAAATACGAGCATAAATAAAACTTGCATTCCAAGACCTACCTTTCCCTTAAGATTCTTATTTCAGAGGTACTGTCGTCAGCTGGTCCTCCTGACCATGAATGTGCTCTGCGCATTCTCCCGGAATCAGGCAAGGAACAGCGGCCGCCCCACGTGGCTGCTAGATCCTCGGCATGGGTTGACGTCTTCATTAAATTACTATCAAACACTATTGTTTCTATAGAAGAAGTCATTTCGACAGCACTATTAACATTAGATTCTACGGAACCATTTCTAGTTCTCACTTCACTAGGACTTAAATCTGGTTGTAATCTATCGTTTATTCTATCGGAATTATCCATGTTTTTAGTGTAACAATTGTTTGTCGCAGTGACACTTCACTTTCCTAGTAACAAATAGTGTTAGGCGTGTCAATAGACCGAGCGCCGGGAGCAGACTGGTCATTACATTTCTACCTCCCGTATCAATTATCGATATCTTATCGGGTGCAAATAAAAACTTCCGAAGGGGGACTTGTTTACTTCCAGAACTGTGTGAATAAAAAAATATCAAAGACGATTACAGAAATAGACCATATTTCATGGATATTTGTTATAGAACGTTTTGTCCGTTATTCAAAACGTGTGTAAAATTTAGTTCAATAATTTTGTTATCAATTTATTTACGTACTGTTAAAAATAGTACGGTTTTGCTATATTCTTTGTTTTGTATATAATTACTTGTAAATAGGTCGGATTAAAATTATACTTATCTGAAATTGAAATGCCATGTTACTATCAAAGTGAAAAATTGGTCATTTATGGTTTTGCCCGAACAAGCCTGATATCAAATAGAATAGGAGATATTAAATGAAAGACACAATTAAGTTTCAATTTGTTTATTTTAAAACATTTCATTAAACACTTTGCTCTTACACAGATAACTCAACAATATACCAGCTGAGACGTAATATGTTACAAAAATATACATACATCTAAGTAAATGCAAGCTAACAGAAAAATATATCATGCTTTTTATGTTAATACACCAGCTATGTCAGAAATTTGTAGGAAACCATTGACAATGGTATGTACCTATTTTTTTGGATTTTTAGCCCTTAAATGCATATTTTTGCGATAAGTGTACAAACAAAAATATAGTTTTTATTGAAACCAAGATTTTTTTAAATTATTTTTCCCTTAATCTGTGACTCAAAATCTATACTGAAATATTCATTCCATAAATAAAAAATCATGCATTCAAGGGTAAGAGATTTGAAATTCCTATCCAACATTGCATCCTGATTTTTCATTTCTTAAGGTTCATGACTGTTTTTTGTCAAGAGCTGTTCTAATTTATATGAAAATATCCTTTCACCAATTTCAACAATTTATAGATTATCTCGGATTTTATTATACGATTTTGACACAAGTAAATGTCCATCTTGGATATTTTGATTGTAAATAAATAAATTATATGACATTTATAAAACAAAAAAAAACAACTTCACACACACAAAAATCTACATAATGCCAGAAAAAACAAAGACATAAAGACTGGAGAACCTGTTAATTCTTAAAACAAGCAATTCGCTTAGTGTTTTTTTCACAAAATCTCGAAACATACAAAATTAGGATATTTTTCTTGTAATCATTTTTATAATCGAATATTTTTTATTTATAAAAAAAAAATATCTACATCAACTTTCATTTCAAGGTTGTAATGTACTTAAAATTACATTTAACAGAAGACAAAAATAATAAAAAAATACTTAAGTTTTAATATGTCAAAAAATATATCGTTATAATATTATCATAACTTGAGTTTCTCTAACTCCTGCAGCAATGTCTGCTCGCTGTCGATCTTCGCGATCTGGTTCAGCTCCAGGGTCTTGCCGGCCGCCTTCTGCTGCTTTAACTTCTCAATGTCGCTTAATTTCTGCAACAAAATATACAACACTTGATGTTTTCCTAAATGCTCTGTTAGTTTAATAATGTTTTAAAAACATGTGATATATCACAGACTAGGTGTCACATCTGGATTTATCCGCATGAAATTATGAAATTTTCAATTGCAAGTGTCAAAATTCATTCATTTCTTATGCATAAATGACAATGAAGGACTTTGACATTGGATAACAATTACTGTTACCATGGCAACCTTAATTCGTAGTTGTCAGCTTGTAGTTTTTGTGCCTTTCACGTATTACGGTTTTTTTTTTAATTATTTACTCCCTAAGTTTAATAGCTTGAGAATATTTAGCCTATAGCGTGACGTAAGTGTATGGCTTTTTGTTAAAGAAAGATTTATTAAAAAATATGCTGTGATTGCCGACATCTTAGGCAACAAAGAAGTGTGTGTTTACGCTTTATTATATTAGTATAGAAGTATAGATATAGGTAACTATAAGATTATTATAGATAGAGAAAGTATATATAGATAGGAGTATA